AGCCCCTGGAAATGTATCATTTTAAATGCTTCTCTTTGAAATGAATATTTATAGAACATATTGTGCTCATGAAGGTTTTCGTGGCTGTTGAAATAGCAGCAATGCTAACTACAGCCTGATAGCTAACAACACACAGGCCCAATCGACACAGACCAAACCAACAGTGTCATGCTATCACGGTCAGAAGTGACATCCATAATCACGTCAGAGACCAGATCCATCTTGCTACAGCGCTCAAAGGCACCCCCTCCTTGAACACAATCAGACCTGCCCTGCAGCAACAAGCTCCAAACAGCCCCGGGGCTATTTTGAATCTAGGACAGCACTAGACTCTTTGGGACAGCATCTCCCCCTTTTCCTCTGTGCCGGCTTCCTCCTACTCCATTCTCCTTTTCCAAAACCGTCTCATCCGTCACACACCTCATGGGTCTGCATCTCTGGATTATGTGACAATATTGTGAAAGTCCCAGTGAAAATGGAAATGTTACCATGAAATAAACACCCTTCGACATCATCCATTTACAGACATTTCTACACCTGCTGTGGTCACACATTATGGTATGGAACGTTTTCTAAAAAAAAAAAAAAAAAAAAAAAAAAGTATTGACACTGAGGTCAACATTTGGATATTTTGCTATGACACAGCTTGTATTAAAAATGTATGATTTCATGATGCACAAAGAAATTGAAACTTACCGTTTCCGGTGTAAAAAAAGGTTAAAGTGTTACCTTCAATAATGTTAAAGAAACAGAGGGTGGTGACAACAAAGTCTTTTTAAAAAGGTGTTAATTTGAGTCTTCGGTGTAACTTTCTTATAAAGCATCAAGTAATTTGACTTCTCAAAGCAACTACAACATCAATAGCAGGCCTGAACGATACTGGAAAGTCTACGGCAATGAGGCTGAACCACTCGTACTGGATGAAGATAAAAGTTTGCCAAGAGATATCTATGGGTACCACGTTACCCTCCACTAAACCAGTTAAAAACATCTATAACATCAAATAGAATATTTTACATCTATAACATCCAATAGAACATTTTACATCAAACACCCAATAGAATATTTTACAGACTAACCTGTGGTAGTGTATATCCGGCTGTACAAACTCCTACAAGACTTGTTCTATTCCACAATTTAGCCTGCAAGAGAATTAACCCATGCTAATCGCCTCCATGGTAGCAGAGTTATTAAAAGCTACTTTATTATTAAAGAAAAAGCTGACTCTGGCATGCCTGTACGTGCCGTGGTATAAATGCATCCTCAACACTGTGTAAACACTTCTATAACAATATTTAAAAAGGCAGGCACTGGTGTATCCTGTCTATTGCAATAATGAGAAAACACCGAGCTGCTGGGTGAGAACAAAGATCACATTTGGTCATGAGTTTGATGTTGAATTTTTTTAAATCTAAACATTTGTAACACTGCTTTGAAGAAAAATAAGACAATGTGTTATGTGTGGACAATGTATCGAATATATGGATATATTTGAACACTAATATATATGTGATATATGAGATATTCCTTGCGCATTTAAGGAATTTATTTATGCATTAAAAGCAGGCGATGTTTACATGCAGGAGACTCGCTGTCAGTTAGTTATTGTGGTGATAATCACGGTAGAGTTGCAGCTAAACTCAGATAGTTGTGCTTAGACGGCTATAAAGCAGATGTGGTAGAGCGGAAACATGGCCGTCTGTGTATGGAATTAGTGGGTGGAGCCTGCTCAGACCTGTGTCAGATGACCAATCGGAGCTGACAGGGCTTTTTGAAAGGGGCCTTAAAGAGACAGGCCTGCTCTAAAACGGGCCGTTTCAGACAAAAAGAGGTGCTGCAGCAATGGACAACCAGTCAAATGTGTTTTTTTTTTTGTTTGTTTTTTTATGTACAGGGCGATCATTTCACTCTATACAATGCGTTTACTTTTTCCAGCTGATTTAAGAATACATTTCTTCTTCTTCTTCAACTTGTCAGGCTTTATCCCTTGGGTTTAATTAGATACACGTTCACTCAACACACTGCTACTGGACTACAGCATGAATAAAAACTATTGATCGTGATCAGTAATGAAACAACAACGTGCAGCGCAGACATGTGTGTACTGTGTGTCACACAGTGGCAGACCCCCCCCCCCCCATACGATCGACACTGAATGCATCACAACTTTGTCTCCAGGGATCAGTTCAACCTTTTATCCTTGTCCTGTATTCCCTTTGACATGTCTCACCTGCCACTGTACGTACATACACACACACACTTAAATCAAAGATCACCACACAACGATCTATCAACGCTGATCAGGAAACTGTTCGGACAATAAAGAAAGTGTTTTGTCAGCAAATTAGAGCTGCGATGGTTAGTCCATTAATTAAATAGCCAATCAATAGACAATTAATTGGCAACTATTTTGATAGTCAGTTGATCATTTAAGTCAATTTTCAAGCAAACGTGGCAAATAATTATCCTTTTCCTGTTCAAATGTGAGCATTTGCTGCTTTCAATTGTCTTCTATTTTGTAAAATGTGTATCTTTGGGTTTTGGACTAGCTTTGAGAAGTTGACATTAATAGTTTAACTACTAATTAATTATTAAAAAGAGATAATTAGATATTTAAAGATGATGAATATAATAATTAGTGCCCCAGTTTAAGTCATGAATTCGAATGATATAAATGTGTATTATAAAAGCCAATCCAAAGCCAGTTGTTGGTATCTGCTATTCTCTTTAAATAAATGTTGGTCATCATGTCAGAGGACTGTGGGCTGGACACCAGAGGGTGAATCTGCTGCCGTCTGTAAGCATCTTGTTCACTGACGATAAACCTATTAAGTGGTTCGAACCACACGGGACTGAAGAGCTAGAGAGATGGCCTGTTTTAGAACCACTGACTCTCATAACATTAAGTGACTCCGGCCTTCTATAGTCTGACAGTTTTACGGCTGCATTGTGCAGCCCACCATTCATACACAAAATGTGCTGAACGCATACCAAAACCCATATTACCCACCCTTTCCTCCATCATGGCAGACAGGGGGGGGTCACCTTAGACCGAAGATTAAATTGAAGCTCTAGTTTAAGTCCACTGCGAAAAATGATGAAATGTCATCAATATACTGTCATTTCTGAGCATTGTCCCTGCATTTAATATGCCTTCATCAGGGTGACGCAACTCTGCCAGATGCTTCTTGATTTAGTCTTAAAAACATTGTGCACAGCCTTTGAATTTGCATTTGTTGTATTTATTTTGGGTGCATTCAATATGACTAATGTTGTTTAGCCTCATGAAGCATAACATTTTCAAACAAACCACGTGACTGAATATCTAACATGCATGGGGCCGTGTGCATCTTCCAGTCTCTACAGAAAACCATTTTGAGCTGTACACAGATAACTTTGCTCTGGTGAGGGCCAAGAACAGTAGTATCTCAGAAATTCCTTTCTACAGATAAGGTTTCTTGAATTAAACTGGATTAGCAGTCAATGACTGAAGCAGGCTACCCCCCCCCCCAAAAAAAAAGATGATCGTGAAGAGGATTAATTTCCCCGATAAGACTAGTCGCAAGAGAGAAGAAAAATATGCCTTAAGCATCTTGTGTAATCCTGTCTCTTTTGAACCATGTGAGGCTTCTGTGTCTTCAGTGAGTACAGACTGATGAATCTCTTCTAGCGCTGAATGATTCGTGGATCAAAAGAAAATGAATCAATAAGAATCTTGATCGTGATTAATAGTTCAAGTTCTTTACCAAGCAAAACATTGTCTACGTCCAGTTCTCTGATTACATGTCCTTATTTTAGAAAATATAAAACATTGTTTTGATAAGATAGAGTTGGTCAAATAAAACAAGACATTTGAAAGTGTCACTATGGATTTTGAGACATTTTATGTATTCTGACATTTTGTAGATTGAACAATACTTGTTTGATCAAAAAAAACAACAAAAAAAAACTGGTCATCAAATTAATAAATACAGATCATAATCATTAGTTTCTGCCAAAACAAAATTGTATTTGTAATACTTGTTCCAACAGTAGCCAGGGGTCTTCATCTAGCCAACAACTTTAACATCAGGAACCACATGTTTATAATGAACCTAAGAGTGAATGATGCGCATAGACTTAGTGAAAGTGGTCCATTTAAAAGCCAGTGTGCAAATATGTCCATTATGCAGAAAGCCGCTATGGATATTTTCAAACAGCACAAAACTCCGTTTAAGACTAATTAGTTACACTCCAAGATACCTTTGTTTTGTTCATATTGGGGGTTCTAATCTAGAGGAGACAGCCTGGCATGCAGGAGTTTGTATTTAATAGATAACGTTAGTTTATATCCATCAGAGTATGGCAGCACACGGCATTCCTGAGATAGCGAGCAACGCCAAAACAGCCGTGGTTGGACAAAAAGGGTCACACTCAAACAAGCTTAAGACACCATTTTGAAAATCCGCCGATTTCTAGATAACAACTCCGAGATGCCATCTTGCCAATTATCACCATATTAGCTACCGTTAGCATGGCTATTCAACCCATTCCGAGGTACCCCCATGCAGGAATCTATATTAGTAACGTTAGCTTAGCTTGTCTGATAGCCCTAAAAAGAGACCCGCTAACCCCGTAGCATCCTCGCATCGCTCGGCACACGCTGCTCAAATGGCTAATTAGCGAGCTAGCTGACTGGAGATTAGCCAACGACAATGAAACACACTCGCAGTGAGTCAGACTGGACTGCACCGGTACAATAGCGGCTACCTATACCGACCTAGGCTCAAACCACCAACGGTAAAACCATTAATACTGACACGACAACGACAGTTAGTGTCAGTTGGACTCCGCAATTTATGCTAGCTCGTTTAGCTTAGCCCGCTAGTCCTCCAAACTGTAGCCACCACGGAGGACAATCGAAGGGAAACGGAGGAGGAAAAAAAAAAAAGACTGGAAAACTAAGAAGTCGAAACATGGACATTCCTGCCCTCCATTATAAAACATCGGAGAAGACTTACCACTTGGTCGAACAAATAAAAAGATTCCCCGTGTGTTGTGTGCGAGTACGTGATGTCGCTCCCGTGTGTCTGCTCTGATCTCAGGTCGGTGCGGACTGGCTCTGCTACAGCAGCGTTTTGTCGGACCAGTGGCGCAGAGAAGACAGCTTTCACCCGAAGAGACGGCCACCGTGTGGGGGATGGGGATGCATTGCCGGGAGGGAGAGAGGAAGGGAGGGATGTAAGGATGTAGTTAAAGAGAGAGGAGGGAGGAGGGGGTCTGACCCACCGATAATATATATAGTGGAGCGGTTTGGATTATAGCACAATAATAATAATAATGATCACATGTAGCGCGGATCGATATGGTTCAGACTTTTACTTTTAACCACAATAAAAACAGCAAATGAGAAGGGCATTCGTTTTTCATACTTGACATATATTACTGGTCCTACTCTCAATCAATCAATAATGGAGCATTCGATTTTAAGGGTTAGCGTGACTATTGAATGCTAGTCTAATACAGATGATGTAGTTGAAGGTCTAATTGACAGGCTGTTGTATAATAACACTGTTACTTCTTTGTTCTGTTTTCTGTGTATTCGCACTTCAATGATTGAGTCTGTGGTTGTTGTGTTGATGAGAAGTGACCTATATGTTGTTGCGTATATGAATATGAGTACCGCGCTGCAGTAATATTAGTGTATGTTTACAAAAAGCCTGCTGATATGTGGTATCTCGAAAATCAACATTGTGTGTCTGTTATATGTGGTCAGCAGCACCGTGGCGGTGAAACGGTACTGCAGCATGGCTGGAAGTTCACGTTCACTAACTCAAACAAGAGGCTTTTACTTCGTGCATAAGCACAACTACAAATGTTGCTTCACAGCAAGGCAACGCCACCCAGTGGTGATGAGTTGCAATGCAACACAATGACTCAATTTTCAAAACACACACGTCCTGACACGCTGCCTGCCTTTTTGCATTTACTGTATATTGTAATTCTGTAATTTAATATCTTATTTTATCTCTATTATTTAAGTAATCCGCTTTATGCTGTCTTAGTTCTTAGCCAGTCTCTTGAGCTGTAACGTAAAGTTGCCCCCTACAACTAGAACAATAATGTGTAAGTATCAAGTCCAGAGTGAATGGTTGCTGCAGTTAGTTTAACGTCTTTCAGATACCACTGCTGGTACACATGGTGCAAACATTAAACAAATAAAAACGAGTGAAGTTGAACTATCTGAATCATCAATGTATTGGCCATGTATGCGTACGCATAAAAGGAATTTGACTGCGGTTTTTACGTTGCTCTCAACGTACATACAGAGAATATACAAATATACTAAATAAATAAACAAGGACAACAAAGTAGAACAGAGGTAAGCATAAACATGTACTATGTATAAATGTATATCCAAAAGTATATATATAAACATAAAGAACAGCAACATTGACAATGGATTTGTAGTGACTAATGGATATCTGCAGAGGAAATATCAACACAAACAGCAACAGCGTGCAAAATCCCAAATAAAGCTTATAACAGTCTGTAGTATTTGAGAACTCTTGTATATTTCTGCAACGTTTAACGGTTTAACTTCTAACGACTGGGCTACACTATAGGAGCACACTCGCCGAGATTTTTTCCGCCTGTAAAACTACAAATAAGAGAGAACTACAGTTCCCATCTGCCATTGCACATCCCTCTACCGCAAACAAAAGAGCCGCATACGTGCACACACAACACTTTTTTTTATAAAAGAGACACATAGCTCAATATCAGTAACACAACGGTGCGCTTTCAGTAAATATGATGCTACCGACAAATACAGCCGCTAACACAGAAAAAGCCGCACGAGTCGTCGCGTGATTTCACGCTTCCGGAAGTTAGAATGGCGTGAGAAAGAGAGAGCTGTCCGAGGTGCTGACACAGTGAGTAGCCTACTGCATGTTCTTCTTCAGACAACATACCAATATATTGCACATGTATTTCTATTACTACAATGTGTTTTTACTTTTAACAGTGATTCATTATCTAAGGTAGCCTACTGTGTATTTGAACTGTGACAATACTGACTGTGATAGACACCAGATCTTTCCTTAAACTTTTTTTTTCTGTAGCCTAATATTATGAACCCCTTTATCTCAGGCTCACTATATTCTGTGGAAATGCATTTTGATCTCTGATTTTTGTTTTTATATATTGTCAAAATTTGGGAAGATGGATGAACCTCAAGAGTCATCGTCCTGTATCACCGATGCCCACAACTCCAGCAGCAGTACTTCACAATGCAATGGAGTCCCAGAGTGCCGGACCCTGCTGCGGGTGCCGGAGTCCCACGGACTCCAGCTGCTGGGCGTGCTCAGATCATTCAGGGAGCAGGGCTTGATGTTTGACTTCACCATTAAGGTCCAGGAGCAAAGTTTTCCCTGCCATCGCTGTGTCCTTGCAGCATGCAGTGATTTCTTCAGGTAGTCTATCTATCTGTCTGTCTGTCTTTCCACTACCTACCTACCTACCTACCTACCTACCTATATATCTATCTGTCTATCGATAGTAACTGCTCTGTCTTTAGGGCCATGTTCGAGGTGGACATGAGAGAGCGCGGTGATGGTTCAGTGACTCTGGGTAACCAGTGTCCGGTGGCAGTGGGTTCTTTCTTGGACTTTGCCTATTCTGGAGAGATACTCATCACTGATGGCAATGTGGACATGCTGTTTCAGGTTGCCTCTTTTCTGCAGGTAGAAATACAACAATTCTTTCTTTTTTCCCTTTAAAACAAACAGTTGTTTTGCTAACTTTGTGCCATAACTAGTGCCTCCTCATCTGCCACAGGGTGTTACATATTCTTCATATTTTGACATGTTACAGTTAGTGCTGTAACAATATCACAAGATTTTTACTGCACGATTGTCATGACTAAAATAATTCAGTCTGACAATATTCACAATATTTGTGGAAAATTTGATTCATTTTTTAAAATCATCAGTCAAAGTCATCTTTAACTTTGTTTATTTCATATTTCGTCTCTATTTTTGGAAATATTACACTCAAAACACGACTGTAGGGGGATGGTACATGAGTCTGTAACCATAGCTGCATATATAAAATGATTCAAGAGGTGCTGGATTATTTACATGATGTTGTCACATCATCAATAATTTATAAATGTCAGGGTTATTGTAAATACTGGTATATTGCGACACCCAGTGAAGCACAGGTGTAGATAACAAAAGGAATGATGGCTGAATTCCTTTCCTATGGTACAACCTCACAGATGTCTTCACTTATTTTGACTTGTCAGACCTCCTCTCTGGACTGTGTGGGCATGTACAGACTGTATTTCATTAGCATTTGTTGCACAAATTAGCATTGGACAACTAACAATTTTATTATTTTTATGGTTATATGAATTGGTGACCTCATGTAATTCCCCGCATAGCTCCACCAGACTTCAACCCAAGCAAATCAAGCAAGTGAAAATATATGTGTGGGTGTACAGGGCTGTCATTTAACTAGCACAACAAACATTTTTAAATATGTACTGTTTGTGTTCTCAGGTTACAGTATTGTCCCGAGCATGCAGCAACTTCCTGATAGAAACCATGGATCTTGGTAACTGTCTGTCCCTCTTCTCCCTCGCTGAGGCCTACGGCTCTGCCTCCCTCCTCCAAAGTGCCAACGAGTTTGTGGTTCAGAACTTCTCTGACCTCTCCAAAACCCAGGACTTTCTGGACATGCAGGTGCTGCTTAAGAAAGGACACGATAAGGAAGGCATTTTAGTGTATATAAGGATGAATGTAGATTATTTGTCAATGAACTCAGACATTCCTACTATGCATGCAGAGTCTGCAATCTGTCTGAGCATTGACTTTAATCTGTTTTTGCTCATTCTCAGTAATTAACATGTCGACTCCAAATCATATTTCATAACCAGTCAACTGTAACTCTTCGTGATTCATAACGTGATGATGCATCCGTATAAGAAGGAAGTTGAGAAAAAGGACAGCATCCCTTTTAAATGGCCTTTAAAACAAGATATAGCAACAACATTTGCCAAAAGGCTTCAGCCATCTTAACCTTTTTTTAAATCTTCCACATGCTCAGGAAAAAAGGCTATGATTTAGAAAGGGTTTTAAACAATTTCATCAAGTTCATGTATAAAACGCGGTACTGTGTGCATAATTTATGTAATTTCTACACAAGGGCATAACATTGTTCCCACAACAATATGTAGAAAATCATAAAGTCTGGCACTGAAGTTTGTTCCCTTTCTTAGTAATAATAGTGTAAAAAGTGATTTTGATTTGACAAGTGATCTTATTATCATTCTGCCTACATCAAACAGCCTGAACTCAGTCAGTATTTACTATTTCCATTGCTTCTTATAGGTGAATGTGTTGGAGGCATGCCTAAGTTCAGATGCTCTAAACGTGCCCAGTGAGGAGGCCGTGGTGATGTCCCTTCTTAGATGGACAGGCCATGATCTCTCAAGAAGACAAAAACTGCTGCCGGGCTTGTTATCTCTGACCAGACTCCACCATTTACCTGCACCTGTACTAAAGGTATGAGCACGCTGCATCTGCGGAATTTGGGATTTTTGCTGGAATGCTGATTCAGCAATGAGGTCTTGTGATTGTCTCAACAATGTTCCCCCTCACCTTCTCTCTCAGACCCTGCGTGACTCAGACGCCCTCCTCTGCGATGGTAAGTCGTGTCTCGCCCTGCTCTCAGAGGCTCTTAGCAAGCAGGATCATTACAGCGGCCTGCTCTCTGACGCCAGGCCAGCCACCACACAGAGCTACATCTACACCCACAAGACGGAGGAGAACGGAGAGATCCGCCACACCTTCTGCTACTGTCTGGAAACAGACCAGTGGAAAGAGCTGGGGACAGGGCACGGAGAGGGGGGCGCTGCTATGCCAGACCCACCAGGATCCTGCGTTACCAGCTTTGCTGAGAAGGTACGTTTTAGGATTGAACCTCGAGTCCTGCTGCTGTTTGGAGTCAGTGGTTCCCAACCGTGTGTCAACCTGTGACCCCTTATTACAAGTTATAGCCTTATAGCCTTGGTGTGTGCATGGGGTGTGAGTTTTCTTCTCCAGATTGTTTTGTTTTAAGGTGTTTTAGAGACCTCAAGAGGTAAAAGTATGCCGATAACAGTGTTGTTTCACACGAAATAAAAAACAATTAAGGAAAAGTGAGAGAAGAAACCTGTTTTTAAGACACTATTATTCCTTGAATTATCTTTTAACCCTTGAGTTTATCTTTGGTCCCGACCTCCAGGTTAGGAATCACTGTTTTAGAGAAAAGATGTAAAAGGAGGAGCATAATCGTAAAATTGGACAACAAACAAATGGGGCCATTCCTTTTTTTTTTTGGTTGAATAAATTCGCCAACTTATCGTCTTTCCACTGGATCTAAGATGTTTGTGACAGGCGGTTGCCGGGGGAACTGTTGCCGGGCAATACGTCTCCATGTGGCCGAGCCGTTCCACGACGCCACGGACGAGGTTTGGTGTTTCTGTCCTGTGACCCTAACCTGCACGCGTGCGCCTCCCATGCGAAAGCCCAGAACCACGCACACAGCTGTGACCTGCCTGGACCGAGTGTACGTCATTGGAGGACGGACCAAAGGATCAAGAAGGGGAGCTCCCAGTCTGCTGGAGGTAACAGTGTTTCCTTTATATACAATTGGGTGAAGATTTCCTTTTATTGCTAGACTATTAACTGTGGATTTTTTGTTAATGTGCAGTTTAAACACGGCTCTTTTCTATCATGTATTGTAGGTGGAGTATTATAACCCTCTGATCCAGACCTGGTGCTCAGTCAGCCCGCTGCCCACTGCCATCTTCTACCCTGAGGCCAGTGCTTGTGGAAGTGTTATCTATACACTGGGCTCAGAGGTGGAGCTCACAGACTCCTTCAACCCCTCGCTGGACTGCTTCTTCCGCTACGACACCCAGCAGGACCAGTGGAGCCGCCTGGTGGCAGAGTTTGGCCAGTTCTTCCATGCTACACTGGTCAAGGCGGTGTCGATTCATAATACACTGCACCTCTGTGACCTCTCCACTTACAAAGTGAGCCATCAGATTGGCACTGATGAATGCATGAGTTGTCAGTCATTGCATTGTAGTGTGAAGGCATTAACAAAGGGTTATGTTGTTTACGTTTTCTGAGCAGGTTTATTGTTAAATTCGGACTTCAAAATTCGATTATTTTTCTACATCCAGGTCTACAGTTTTTGTCCAGAGACCTGCGTGTGGAAGGGTGAAGGGTCATTTGAGTGTGCTGGGTTCAATGCTGGAGCGGTTGGTATGAGAGACAGAATCTATATCCTGGGTGGAGACTATTCACCTGACGAGATCACCGATGAAGTTCAGGTACGAGAACTTTTTTATCCAGAGTAGCTACTTTGACTTTTATTGGCTAAAGGGGGTGGTCCAAGTTTTTCCTGAGCTGAAAGTGGAGGCCACTTGATGGCAAAATGTCTCTTTATTTTTAAGAGGCCTTGAAGACGTGATCAGTAGCTCACCAGAGAAACATTAGCATCAAAGTAATCCCATTGCAAAGACAAACAGAGGGTATTCATCATCTAAGATCTGTCTGTTTTCTTGTGTATAGGTGTACCACAGTGAGAGAAACCAATGGGAGGAAGTGACTCCCATGCCCAGAGCACTCACTGAGTTCCACTGCCAGCTAATCAGCTTCAACAGATACAAAGACCCATGGGGTGACACTGCTTGATACACAGCAGACACCCACTCATGAAAACATGTGAGTAGATATACATGTGTGTGTTACATGTGTCACTGATGTAAGCAAGTACCCATGAGTCTCCCTTTGAGGCTTTCAACCCTCTGTGCACGACAGACAGCTGACTGAGAGAATGACAATCTGTGACTATCACCGCATCACTCACACATCTTCACATCCCAAGAGCACCTAAGCCAGATATTTCTTTTATTGTTTTTGTTTATTTAAAGGCTTTAATCCTTAACTTTGTATGTGTGAAGCACCTGCTGTCATAGGGTCTCTGTTGTGTCATTCAAAATGTGGTCTCTCCCATGGAGGAACCCTATAGAGTAGAAGACTATTTTAGAAATCCTATTTTAGTAACTGAATATTTTTTTTTCCTGCTTTGTATGAAAAGGAGAATTCCCCAGAAAAATAACTCACAGTATCTGTACACTTATCAGCTCTCCTACAGCTAGAACATAGAAAATAATACTTTATCTAACAGTTTTGAAGCTCCATTTACACAGCCTTCATGAGGAATTCAGTGTTATTTTCCTGCATTTGGGGTATTTGCATCATGAATGGATCAAATAACTTTGTTTTGGCAAAATTACACAAACACGTATACGTCCCTTTCAACTAAATGTGCTTCACAAGATGGTAATATTTTTAGAAAATGGTCCTATTATGGGTTTGTGTTATATTCTATGTCATTAGGACTCCCTGTTATTTTCCTGATTCGTCCTTTGTTTTAGCTGATGAAGACCTGCTCATACATAATAATAAATAATTGAATGGCAATGCTGTGTAAATGATCTGGGTGGATTTTCATTTTAAACTACTTGCATATATTCTGTTTCCGACTGCCATGTATCCATGCATGCCCTGTTTCTCCTCTCATGATGTATAATTCTACATGTGATCAATCCACAAATCTCCTGATAAGCTTCAGTAACTGCTTTGATGAAAATGTGCAACTGTCACAGAGAAACACTCTGTAGCTTCAAAGAACACAAATGCTTAACATTTCAGAGAGCAGGAGGAGAAAAGGGCGTCACGGTGTAAATCATAAATGCAAAGTACATTTGTGTTATGAAACAGAAAACTAATCCAACAAATGAAAGACTGTTTAATGGCAAGAAGTGAACATAAACATAATGCTTCCTTATTTGTGTAGATGTCTTCTTCTTTGAGTAGATATAATGTCTGCATAGATACTTTCATCACTTAGTAAAAACAGAACAATAGACTCAACAGCATGGTTCATGTATCATTGTCACAGGAATGCCACATGGGATGCTGTACTGCTGTTTATGTGGCATTACTGTGTATCATAGCTGTCACTTTAAAACCCCTGTTTATTTATTTTTATTCACCCTCCCATCTCTACTGTGACTTCCCCTTTGGCTCTTGCCAAATATTCAAGGCCACTTTCAAAACACATCTCAAAACAAATTCTGATCTAAGATTAGTTTTTAAATGACAATCTGTCTGAAGCAATCACATGATTTTAGACATCGCATCGCTACTTGAGCTCTGGACCAGACTAAAAAAAAAGAATGAAAAGATGTAAACACTGTGTCTGAAGAATAATCAAAGTCCTACAATAATCAGGCTGGCTTCCTTCCACACACATCTCTCTGTCTCCTCTTCCTCCCGTTCATCTCGTCTCTTGTTGCTCCATGGTTTAGGCCTGGTACGCTTTCACCAGCAGCCACATCAGCAGCACAGTGATTAAGACGATCATGAAGTTGAGGAACAGCTCCTGTACCGAGCGGTCCATGGTGGTATCACACCCGAGAAGAGGAGGAGGGGAGGAAAGAAGCAGACAAATACGAAGGGTGCAGATGTTGAGTGTTTTTTATAGAGCTGAGGCTGGTCCTGGACCTGAGAAGTGTAGAGAGATATGAGCAATGAAACATATAATTAAGGTATTACCAAGGCAAATAGTATGGTGGTAAAAATATATATATATATATAAGTGTATGTGTGCCTACAGTGGCACATGTGCTGTGTTTTGCGTGTGCATGTTTGTTATCATAGATTAGAGGGATCAGACACTTCTTAGGCGGGTCGTTCCATCTGTTCCATCACTCAACAGGGAGAGGGGCCAACAATACGCCCTTATATAAAGACATGGGAGATGACGCACACACCAGCAAAGTATACTCAATAATACACTATCATACATGTGATCAGGTTAGAAAGTACTGTATGGGAAAGTTATTGGTGTATGAAAAAAATAGATACAAGCCCCTTTGCACCCGTTGCATTTTCAAAATCAGATGTAGCCGGTGAACTGTTACCTTTCCTTTTTTGGCAGCAATCTCACTATGAGCAGGAAGAGGAGAAAGCAGACGTTCTCATGCGCTCCAGTAGTACTTGATCTCTGATAGCTTGTCTTCTCGCTGACAATTCTATTGTGGCACTTCTTCTCTGTAGTATCTGTTAGCAGCTGATCTTCTTGCTGTTGTCCAGCTGTCTTCGGTGGCCAGGGGAAGGGCCCGGTCCTAAAGTAGTCACCCTAGCGGACCGCCCATGTTTCACATACAACCGGACTGATGTCACGCAGCAACTAAACAACCAATAGAGTGTCTTACTTTCCACAATATCATCCACTGGTGTTTTCCATCTATAACCATACAGAGTCTCCCTCTTACACAGAGACACACAACAGTGGAGGGACTCAGGGTTATTTATAAAACATTATTGCAGATACTAGGTGGATTACAGTTGTTCCAAACACAATATCCATGTCTTCTGATGGATATGGGAAACTGAAACAGTATCTGTAGCTGGGTATGAGCTATGCACAGGGGCAAAGAACAATAACCGAGTGACCTCTCCAAAATGCAACATTGGAGGCATGTAGATTTAAATCCAGTTGATACCACAGTTTATCATGCTGTCTGGCAAGTCAAAGAGGAAAAAGGAAAGGTTAATTCCTCCCTTAGTTATTTAGATACTTTAATACGTAATATCATGCCACTGCACTTGAGTTACTTTCACTATTCTCTGTGACTGCTGGATGACACCTACCAGCCAGGAAAGACAATAAAAGGATGTGTAGGGCCATTCTCAAGAGGGTGGGACTTATTGTATAGGCCAGCCTGTTGGTGACAGAAAAGAAAGAACAGAGGAGAGTGGCACGCTATGGAGAGCACGACCCTTTTTGTAATTGACAATGACAGATAACCCTCATCCCTTTAGTATTTTTGTTTGGTAATTCTATTTCTTGACCTAAATGAACTGAAAACTACTGAGCTACCAGTACTGACTGCAATGACATTAAACAACTAAGATACAACGTGTTAATTAGACAGCAGATGTTGCCACCTTTGGACAAATCCAGGTTAGCTGTTTCCCCCTGCTTCCAGTCTTTATGCTGAACAAAGATAACCACCTGCTGGCTGTTTACTGTGAGGTCAAGAGAGTGCTGTCAATCCTCTCATCTAATTCATCCGCCAGAAAGCAAAAAAGTGTATTTGCCAAAACTATTCCTTTAAATAGATGTTGATAGTAAAGTGTTTTTCTCTCTCTTGTGGTAATGTATAACCATTGTTCTTTTACACTCTCCCTTCTACGCTGGTGCTAAGAAAGGGATTTTGACAGTTCACCACAGTGAACCTCTCAGTTCATCTCACACTTGACAGCTGCTTAAAACCGTGTTATCTTTGATCTAATGTTAAACCCCCTTGACACACCTTCCGTACACACAGAGGGGTCACAGCAGGACAAAGTGTGTATGAGCTTGGCTCCCTTGAACCTCTCCATCACAGGATTCCAAGGTCTTTCCAGAGGATTTAAAAGATCAAAACGTCTGCTATTTTATCCCCCTGCTGCCCTGCCAATGTCAAACCAATAGCTATTTGACCCAGGGATTCCCATTGTCATGGAGATCCAGCGCCGGGGTGATTGAATAAAGCAGGGCGAGGTGTGCAGGCATCTCTGTGCAGGGTGGACCATGGCCCACTCTGACAGCTGTGTGTGTTTAAGATAGAAAAGTACTGGCAGGGTTACCCTCTAAATCAGTGGAGGGACGGAGGGGTGTCAACAAGGCCTCAGAGACACCATTCCACACATTCTGGGACGCTATGTGTGTGGGTGTACGTGCATGCAATACGACTACTGTTTATTACCAGTGAAGTTTGGTGAGAATTTCATGGTTATCAGCTGTGAATGAAAAAGACAAATCAAATCATCTATAATACCAAAAATATCAACAATCAATTAATGCCAGGCGACAATTAGCTTAGCATAAATGATGGGAAGCAACGGGGATACAGCAAGTCAAATGCTTAACATGTTGTAGCATGTTTAATCCATAGAAAAATGAACAAGATGAGGTTTTGCTTTTAGTCTTTATGCAAAGCTAAACGCCTGCTGGCGAGGAGAGACAGGAATTCCTCTGAGCTGACTGTGATCCTGACAGAGAGATGATACAGGCAGCAAACACAAGGCTCAGGACTGTTTATACTTTAGGCCGGTTGTAATATTATGTCTGAACCTCAGATCTGCTGCCAAAGACCTCAACTCATAACTTCTGTCTGTCTCATATCCATTGTAGCTGCCAGTTAGTCAGTGAATAGATGGATCTGTACATTCTTCAGTGCTACAGCATGATATGTATTCTCTTGTTGGTATCTGTAATGCCAGACAAACCTGGGTAAAATGACCTGGTCGCATATCAGTCATATTTCCTTTTGAATAAGATTGGACCTAATGACCATGTCCCGAAAATATTTTCCTCTCTGGAAAGAGAACATGAAAGAACAATGAAAAAAAACCGTGAGGGATTTTGGCTGATATATTTCTGTACTTTTACCGGTTTCATTGCCATAGTTTTTATGACTGTTATCCTTTTCCAACGACCGATATCTGCTTGCATATAGTCCCGATAGAACTGAATAACTATTTCAAAAAGCAATCTGTCCATCTCCGTCATGCAGTCTGCAGCTAATCAGAATACAAAGATGCCAGTAACAGGAGTTTGGCCTCTGGCTACTGGCCCTACAAAGGGTAATGGCATGCCTCTGGGTACACAAGTGGTTCCACTCTAGTTCTCACCATTACCCTGATTTTTAAGAACTTGGCTGAAGTGTAAGGTGAAGCAGCTCTTCAGCACTGGCAAGGGAAATATCATCCTAATCTCATGTTCATAACCTGAAACAGATATTTCCACTTTGTAGAATGCTGACACTCATTGATCACAAGTTCATGGCTGACCAACTCTGAAATATATTATTGAAATTAGATTTATTATAAGATGCTTTTCGTCTGAAACAGCAGTTGAGAAACAAATCTTACCACATAGTCCATGGTCTTTAATAGCAGATGGATCATTCATCAGATACTTAGTGGACTTCTGTTTCCAATGTCAAAAAATGACCTGCACCTCAGTTTTTAAGCCAGCTTGTATGAGACGTTCTTTAAGTGCTCTGATAAAATGAACATTTTCAAGTACAAGTAACTACTTCATGCGCTGAGGAAAATTATGTGTTTGAAAACTCCACAGCAGCTACTTAATTGAGCTATTAGTGAGATCGTTTTTTCCTACGACAAGACAGTTGGGAAGTCAGACTGACTCAGAGTAATGGATTGCAACAAAATTGTCATCAGACAAAGAATTGATTAATGTCTTTCCCCTGTGTTTTCATTATCGTGTTCGCTGGATAAAAATGTGTGTGTTGTGAATGCTAAGAAATTGCAGCAAGGGATAAAGCTTTGCTGCTGATTAATCTCCCAGCAAGGGTGTACGTGACTGAAGTCTCTAGGCATCATCCAACACACACAACGGAGAGAAGACTATTTATATTCTTTATTTATTTGACTGTTTGGAAAAACAAGATGGGGCAGAGCATTGTAATGGTGTTGGAGAGGGCAGCCACAGTCTCCTGTCTGACCAGCTGCTGTTTTGGAGACTAAACTGAGCATGCTGATAAAACAATGAAGGGTTCCCACTGGCCAGAGTTTAGCCTGGCACTGTAATTACTGAGATGGCTGAGGACAGGTGGGGGCTTCATTACACTACACACACCCGTGTATAATCGCACACACTGACGCACAAAAGTTTAATGCTCACGAACACATACATGCATGCTGGAACACATACTCACACCCAAAGGGGCTGTGGAGTCATTGATTTGACTGTAGAGGAATTCAAATGCAGGATCTGAGCTAATTGGCTCCTGTGAGGGAGGAAGCAGACAGAGAGCAGAAATCAGGGCAAAAAAATCAAAACAATAGACAGAATACATCAATTACAATTTAGAAACATGTCTGAACGTAAATCACTGGTTGTATCTGATCAGCATCTGCCCTGATGTGTAGGGTAATGTGTTTTGTTGAAAAGGATGCATTAGAATTAGCCAGCTAGCCTATTGTGATACTCTTTTGTTCTCATGTAACACAAGATTATCCTCAGTTGCCAGAATTTGAGTCCGGTCTGATGATGGATGAATGACATGGATGAAAATGGAATGCAAAACAGTCTACCCAAGATAGTCATCCTGTATACTTATATTTTTATCCCATAGTATCAAGTTAGTGGGGCCTATAGAATGATCCCTGGGGCAATTCTGTCTGTCTTTTGTTAGGAGATTAGGAAGGCATGCAGCATGGATTTGCCTTCAGGGTTCAGGTCCTATATAATGGAGCGCAGGGCAAAACACTGGATGTTAGTAAGCCTTAGATACCAAGTGGAAAAAATGGGTATCTTAGAAGAGAAAAGAGAAGGGAGGCTTACACTAAAAGAGCAAGAGGTATTCAATCATTAGCTCGATATAGATATATACAACAACAGATCAATATGTCCCTGCTGGGATGTTATAGCCTACACTAGGACATTAATACCAGTGTTAGACTATTAGTCTACCCATGGAATGTACAGTAATCTCACTGGACATACTACTGAGTAACAAAGATAGACTTTCTTTCCTTATTTTGGTGGTCTGAACTCACATTATAGCAGGGCACACAACCAGAGGAAAATGTAGAGTGAAACAGTTAACATTTTAGGCTGCCAAATGTATATGCCTACAATTAATTGTTGCATCACATTGCAACTGTTGGAACACAGCCATTGTTAATGGTATCAGTTGCCATTGTGCTTTGTCTGAGAAGGGTTTCAAAGGAGCCACCTGTGCATGGTGGCTCTGCTCTCCTGGGATGAGAATCGTCGGGAACCGTCAGTGTTTGATGCTTGTTGCACCCGGACAAAATACACGGACGTACCATGGAAGCTAGTGTGGGAAACAACATGGAAGCTGTCAGAAGGAGTAAAGAGGACAGAAAAGTTCTTCGTAAACAGTTAAAAGCCAGTCACACTTTGCTGAAACATGAAGGCATCAGTACAGCACCGCAGCCTACCAAGGTAACACAAAATAAATATTCATATACAGGAAGTGGCAGCGAAGAGAGAGCTAGCTAACATTTAGCCTCTTCGAGCTACTTATTTTAAATATTTACAGCTATTAGATTCACAATTCAAAGTTGTTTTTCAGTTTAAGTGAGTTGAATGAAAGAATGCACGCTGTTGGCTGGCTAGCTAATTTGCAGGTATAACTTTAATATTAGCTTGTATCTACTGTTTTCTGTCGTTTATAAGAAAACAATAGCGGTTTAATACAATGGGAATACAATGTACGTGTGTCTTGGGCTGTTTGGATGTATTATTAGGAAATAATAATAATAATAAATAGTCTGTTTAGGTGTTTATCAGACTGACAGCCTGGTGGAAGAAGCCATTGATTCTTGAGGTGTAGGGTTCAAACAGTGATTAGCCTGTTTTGGATGTCATCTTTCAAATTGTTTATGTTGTTAAACTGGTCTCTATAGAATCAACCAGTCAACCTCTTGTCTGTTCCACAGAGCTTGGTGGTGGCTAATGGTGGCCTGGGGAACGGAGTTAGTCGAGAGGAGCTGTCTGCAGCGCTGAACGAGATGGGAGAGGTGGAGACACTGATCATGCACCCTCACAAGCCTTATGCTTTTGTCACGTACAGGTACAGGTGCTGGGCTGAAAATACTATATGACACAAGTTAATTGCTTTCACCTCTCTGGAAGAAACTCACACCGTTGTTTTTGTGATCTTGTTTCCAGATCTGAAGAGAGTGCTCGGAAAGCCCACACCCACCTCAATGGGGAAAAGCTTCAATGCGGAGAGAACAGCGTCACACTCTACCTCAGTTATGTCGACTCAGGTACTTGACTTAAACATTGACACCTACAGACGCGAGCCTAAAATACTGTCAGATCTGCTACACTCATTTGAAGCATTGTTTACCTCATATTTTAACAGTAAGTTGGATAGCTGAAGTTTGTGTGCTTCATGCGCTGGATATCTAGTCTAATAAGAAACAGTAGTGTGATCCTCACTGTATGTTCTGTTTGTGTGTCTGTAGTAACCTGTCAGGAGGAGGTGTCCGTTCCTTTGCCTGATGGATTAGTGTTGGTGGAGGATTTTGTGTCTCCGGAGGAAGAGGCTCTGCTGCTCGCTGCTGTCGACTGGTCGTCCACTAATGATGATGTCACTGGTGAGGGGCTGTGTAATTTGCTGTCTGTGTTTGTTTCTTAAGTTAAGTTGCTATGTAGAACTTCTCATGATCACCCAGGAACTTGATTCAATCTTGTCATAAAGCTGAGTATTAGTCAGATGACAGAGCCTTAATGAATCCAGTTTAATGTACACAACTGTTGTGTACAATTCGGATAAGAAATACAAGAATTTGGACCTTATTTGCTAATTTCATTCTTATGTGTTTTAGCTCAAAAAGCTCTGAAGCATAGAAGAGTCAAACATTATGGCTTTGAGTTTCGCTACGACAACAACAACGTGGATAAGGACAAGCCATTGGCTGCAGGTAAGCATCCATTAATAACAAAAAAATTGAAATATTTAAATTTTAAGTATTTTTACTGTTTTGGCCAATACATCACTTAAAATCATCTATTGATATTTTTGGGCTCTGTTGGTAGATTTAATCTCTATATTTCTATTTTCACCTATATCTCATGTATTGGATAGTGAGCAACAAGATGCTACATTTTGATTCCTTCTGCTTGTGTGTGTGTGTGTGTGTGTGTGTGTGTGTGTGTGTGTGTGTGTGTGTGTGTGTGTCCAGGTATTCCTCAGGAGTGTCTAGCTGTTCTGGAGCGGTGTGTGAAGAACAAACACGTCGACATCCTGTCAGACCAGCTGACTGTCAACCAGTATGAGTCTGGACAGGGTGAGATTTTCCAGTCATGTCTCCAATGATGACTCACCAACTAAGATACGTTTCAGAGGTTATCATGTACATATGTCTGACTACATGTGGAGAAAATGACAGCTATTCAAAGCACAACAAATAAGCAACATTATTAAAATGAAAATGGTTTGTACCCATTAATAAATCACAAAAATATCAATTCTTCCACCTTGGTGCAGTTCAGGAATCAATATTTAGTTGGATAACTGATTCTCTGGATGATTAATCAACACTGAATCAAAACTATATTATCTTCTGAGCTGCAGAGGTTTAAAACAGACATGGAGTAGCAAGGGGACACTGCAGAGAGCTGTGACAACCATAGAAAGATGTTTGTAGGTTTGAGATGCTGCAGCTGCACTTTATGTGGTGAAGACATCAATTAAAGACTCGTGGAAACTGGAAGTAGACTTACTGGGTTTCCAGAACCACAAAATATAGGCACACGTTTGGATTTTACTGACTTATACCACAAGGTGGCAGCAGAACCTCTCCAAAATGCATCGATGAGGGATGATGAAAGTTTCTGCTTCCTGTCAGTTGTCTGTTAATATATTTGCAGTACTGGCAAACATCTTAGAGCCTTATAGACCTTAAAGGAAAGGTAATTAATTATGCTTGAATGTAGCATTAAATGTCAAAATGATTTGAGTGTAATTTATGACTAACATCAATGGTGTCTGTCAGAAATTCAACAAACAAGTTGAAACTCAGCACTTTTATATTTTTAAAGACCCATGATACATTTTGACCAGTATAACTATTAAAATGTACACTTTATGATATTTCCAGGCATTCCTCCTCACGTGGACACTCACTCTGCTTTTGAGGACGCCATCCTGTCTCTGAGCCTTGGAGCAAAGGTGAGAAGTCAGTCCATCACTTTGTGATTTTAAACTTTTTTCGCAAACTCCAGCTAGCAGTGTTGAGAGAAATACTCCCCACAGCCCCGTGGGTTGGTAACTCACCCCAACTATACGATACATCCATCAGCTTGTGGAGCCAGTATCGACCACTGGAGCTCAAGGTGCATTCATCAATGACGCAAAGTTAGAAAGTGGGTTTAAATGGATATATATAAAGCTTCTGTTTGTACGCCTCTTTGTGTTGGGGTTCGATCAATCATATTACCCGTGACCAGTGTGATTCATCTGTCTCAGGGGGCACCACTCTCAGAGATGAGTGTGTGCAACAGTATGTTTGGATTCTATGTCCTTGTGATTTTACTGAGAACATTGTGTCACCTTGCTTGCAACATCTCATAATCTCCTGCTCACTGCGGCCTTCAATTGATACAGAATGTAGCTAACGACTCTTTCAGAGGCGTCTCCCTGGTTGTGGGGCATTTTGTGAACAATTAATGAACAGAAGAAAACCAGATTTCCCTTTTTAATCAGTTTTGCTTTGTCCTTGACTATTCAAGGTGTGACGAGATGGTGTCGCACGGTGCTGGGATGCTGATTTAGTCTCTGCAGGACGACTGTTGTAGATGAACGCCCATCTGTCCCTGCTTGTCTGGAAGGCAGGGGCTCTATTAACAATCAGCTGTTGTCTGTCTCTCTCACACACACACACACATACACACAGACTGACAGACGTGTGTGTAGCGCAGTGTGTTCGTTGTCCTAACTCTTCAGTGGAGATTTTAAGCAACAAAAAGTGTACCGTAAATGTTGTATATCGGGTGCAATATCGAGAAGAAAGACGTCTGCACAATGAATATGGTACACACGCGGGTACGCATGATTAATCCATTGTCCTGGAGATTTTGAGTCAAAGTCTTATTTACTCTGGTTTTGTTGTTATTTCTTTAATCTGTGGGTGTAACAAGTTAATCCAGCTGTGATCAAATGCTTTAGTGCATCATCAAATGTCCCTTTCAGCCAGCCACCTGATTGTCTGCAGTTAAATATATGAAACAGTGTTGAACTTTACAGGTTTATTGAGCTTGTTTGTGTTTTCAGTGAGAGAGAAGAAATAAAGCAATGTTGATAGGTGTGTGTGTGTGTGTGTAGGTGCATGTGAGACTGATTAATGAATAGTCTTGTAGTAAAGTGTAACTGGCTGCATCACCATCGATTTAGTCACATTCCACCAGTTTCATTGATTGGCCAATACTCCCCAGATGGGAATAGCACAGGTGTGTGTGTGTGTGTGTGTGTGTGTGTGTGTGTGTGTGTGTGTGTGTGTGTGTGTGTGTGTGTGTGTGTGTGTGTGTGTGTCTCTCTCTGTCTGTGTGTGAGAGATTTCAGTTGTGGTTTCAAGTTCAGAAAATTTGCTGGTGTTGTATGTACATAGCTCTCTCACAATCATACACAAACTCTCTCTTTCTCTTCTCTTCTCCCCCCCCCCCCCCCACTCTCTCTCTCTCTCTCTTACCGCTCTACTTCACAAAATCCAATTTTCCTGCTGTCAGTAGTCGGAGCGATGCAGTTTAAATTGTGTAGATGTGATTTCCCAGCAGAGCTCATGCTGTAAGGAACCATCAGGATCAAACACCAACGGGTGGAGATGATTCTGCTGGTTGTTAGTGAGAGAGAGCAGGTGGAGTGTGTGTGTGTGTGTGTGTGTGTGTGTGTGTGTGTGTGTGTGTGT